GAAAAAAAGTTGAGTCAAAGCATATCTGAAATCCATGTATATAAAGAAAAGAGAGTATAGAAAAGAAAAATGTGGTAAAGAGTTAAGTGATTGATTGAGATATATTCTACCTTTAAGTCAATTGGTTCTTGAAAACTTCAAGGTTAATTTTCATTATTTAATTGCTAAATCTTGTTGAATAATTGAAATCAATTTCCATTTTAACCCTTTGTAGTAATTTGAAAACGATGTGAGAATCTTATCTTTTAATTCGTTAAAATGAATTTTGATAAATCGATAATCATTAGTATTTAAGAAAATGAACAAAGAAAAAAAAATCATTGTCAATTTATCCATCATTACTCTAGTAATTTCATTCTGTATATTTGTTGATTACCATTATCCTTCCACCATGCCTAAATACCTGAGAAGTATTCGAAAGGCAAATCAAAAAATGAAAGAAATTAAAGAAAGAGAACAAGAGCTATACAAAAAGTATGGATGCAAGCCCCTTCAAGTTGTCCTTCTCCCTCATGAGGAGTTTGAGAAACTTTTGGGCAAGTGTCAATCAATTTCAAAATCATCATCATCATCAACTTCTAGCCAAGTTTCACCAAAACCGACAACTTCATCATCTGAAGCTTCCTCTTGTTCAGGTTCCTCATCACCAACTTCTCATTCTGTTTAACCTGTCGCTTCAGCATCATCTTTCCAATAGCCAACATCTTCGGTAACATAAGATTATTTTTCATCATCACCAGCTTCATCTATATTACCATTTTATAACCTGGATAGCCGAGGGAAATTGATTATACCTGATGATACCGAAGAAACTCTTCAATTAATTCAATCCATTGTGCAAGATTTCACAGAGTGTCTACCTGAATTAAATGAGGATTATGGCTGGTTGCAAGATGAAATAGACAATTGCTTCAAAGATACAAAATTTATACATTGTGGTGCATCAAATAATATGTTTTCATAATATATGTAATGTAGAGAAATTCATAGCTCTTAAGAGGAAAGAGAAATGGTGAGATATGTTTTCCTCTTTCTCTTGACTGTCTATTTGACTGTCTTCATTTCTTCGTTTTTTACGTTAACAATGAATGGAAAGGGCTAAACAAACCCTTTCCAACAATGGGATAAGCATTACTTTTGCCTGGTTACTTTCTTTCTTAACTTGTGAGAAGGAGAAGATTCTTTAGTTGGGAACTGAAGTAAGTAAAAGTAACTTGTGTCAATCCAATGGGCAAATTGCCAACCAATTAATCTTGAATAATTCAATTTAAGTTCAACTTAATTCATATTGTCCGTCTATTGTTCATCTATTGTTCATCTATTGTTCATCTATTGTTCATCTATCGTTCATCTATCGTTCATCTATTGGTCATCAATTGTTCAACATCATCTTTACAACCATCACCACTGTTGGTCTTAATTTTTAAGGAATAATTAATACTGGATTACCACCCCTTTTATTCATTGACTTCAACAATTTCATCCAACTCATTATCACTGATAACAGCGACCAACAAGATTGCTACTTCCATCACCATCAATACTCATTTTGTACCTCTGGTTCCTCATTAAATTAAACTTAACCTGATCTTGATTCCTTCCTCCACCATCATTAACTCACTAAACTTATCCTGCCAATCCACATCACCTCATTGTAACCACAATAATCAATT